GCAGCCATTGTACAGCGTTCGGACCATTTTATAAATGACAAATAGTAAGGGACGTGCTGTCTTCGATTTTGCTGAAGCCTTTATACCTTTCCCTAATAAAAGAAAAAAGTACTAAGTAACTAATTTTTTTAGCAAAAACACAACCGATTTCAATTCTCATATAAAAATGTAATAGTACCGTTAATATCTTCATGACCCAATGATCGGATCTAAACCAAATTAATATGGCAACACCTTTCCGATAGAAAAGGAATTATCAAAATCAGTGGACGTGGTCCAAAGTTATGCATACAACATAAAATAAAAAATAAAAAAATAAAAATAGTCCGACGAATTGATAACCCTCTGCTTATTTGAAGTCGATTAAAAAGTACTTATATTGTGGTAAATACCAAATACTATTTATTTAAATATTTTGGAAGTTACTAAATACCGAGTAAGCTAGTATTTACTAATAAGTAAATTCTTATTCTAAAAGCATTTAGTTAGTTTCACCTAACACAACACCGTGTATAGGTTTGTGAGTTTTTAGCTTCACTAAATACTATGTACAAAAGGACTTGGTAATTATGGCTTCACTACACGCAAATATTTACTTATACCTGAACAATCAGTTGTATGGTCAATGTATTATAAAAAGCCATCTGTGGACCGAATTTCGATTGGATATCTCGAAAGCTGGGGGACTAGTTTGCGTTCAAATAGATAGATAGACGGGCGGACATGAATAAATTTTTAAAACTTCAGATCGAAGAACTCGGAAGAAAGGGATTCGCCAGAAAGTGAGGACCAAAAACAAACAGCTGACGGCTATTTGTTAAGAAAACATACCTCAAAGGCAAAATTAAACATACCCAGCAGTGGTGCATAAAAGAATTCAATTAGCACTCAATTAAGTACAAATGGAGTATTAAGTCGGGAAAGTGTGAATGGTAAAACGAGCTCAATTAGCTTCTTAATCGAGAAAGCTTTTATAATTGCCCGATTAACTGCCTGTCTGAACTTGGTAATACATTCCACAGTTGCGATGATTATTTTTTGACTTTCCCTAAAATATGGGCAAGCAACTCATTCTGGAGTTCCTCTTTACACACAACATAAATCTTTCAAATTTATTTGTATGTGGTTGTATTTGTACGTTGTTCAAAGTCTAGGGCGGATAGTCGGTCTTGTTCGGTGTAAATATAACTAGCTTATGAAGTTACTTGCAGGAAATACTTGAAGCGGCTGATTATTACAGTTTCATCGGAAAAGTGGACATTGTCAGGCGGTAGTTTGTGGGTACATATGTGAGAGATGTATAAGACATACCGCATCGGGCCACGGACACTGCCTTGTGGTACTCCAGCTTCAATTGAATGGGCGTCAAAAAGGGGGGTGTAACATCGAACTGCAAACTTTCGAAAATACAGTTACAGGAATTAAGCAATTAAGCAATTAAGATTTTGTATTTTATACATAAGACTGTTTAGTCATACAGGATCAAATGCCTGCGCGACGTCAATAAATATTGCTTTCGTCGTGTCGTGTCTCGGAGGCCTTATTTGATTTTAGGTACGAACTTTAACACCGCAGCGTCCGACACATCCATTGGTGCACTTAGATTTTACTAGTCTTCCAACAATGGGTACTTTGTGCTAGTCGGTGAGAGCTTCTGGATGTACCGGTACTATGCGTACTGTTCCTTGCTGTTAATTTAAGTTTTTATGCGAAAACGCATTTAGATGCTCTAGGGAAATTTCTACATCAAAAAGAAAATTTGGAAAAACATGTCGCTTCCGACTTTTAGGCGGTTGAGGTTCGATGCGTAAGACAAAAAACATAATAGAACCAACTGGAAAATTTAAATGCTTGTATTTGAAAAGCGGCTCCTACGGCAGATATAACATACATACATAGCATGTGCGACAAATATTTTCCAAACAAAATACATTGCGCGTCAAAAGAAAAACGTGAAAACCTTTCATCTCATTGCATTCCGAAATTTGTTTTCTGCAAATATTTTTTATTAGAATGTTCAACAATATTAGCTCAAAACCCGATCTTAAAGCGATTCAGAAGTCAATGTGTAATATTTAAAAAATTGTTAAAACTTTTTCGAGATTTTTTTATGAAAAAAATAAAAATTAAAAATTAGTAGCATTAGTATTATAATTTGTAACCGCTTAAAAAATAGGCAGACTCAGTATTACTAATCGTGAGAAGATAAATAAGATCCAAACAATTTCGAAAAAAGTTTATAGTTACAACTTTCAAAATAATTCGAACTTCGAAATAATTGCCAAAGTGGTAGTTTTTTTCTTACTTTTGTGAACCAAAATCAATTAGTTTCCAAAAAACCTCGAACTTCGAAAAAAAAGTTGGCTCACTTCACAAATTTGTTTGCCCAATACCAATTTATGTAAGGTATAAATATATGTACGTGGAAGCAAAACAAGCAGACAGACAAACGAACAAACAAACAGGCCATCGTCTGCCTGGCAGGCATGTTTGCCCTCATTGTTCTGCTGCTGCTTGCTACTTATTTGCTGGCAAGCAGCTTGCGCTGTTGTTGCTATTACTCTATTCGCTATTGTTTGTCTGCTCGTTGCTTGTTGTGTTGCTATTTGTAAAATTGAGCTTCATACACGCACACACATATATATACATGCATACCTACATACATACATTCATACCCAGCAACTCCTTCCATACAAAATCATTTGCACTGTGTTTGGCAATTAGTTGCACGCTTAATAATTCCTGTAATTGTTATTTTTGTTTTTATTTTCATTTCTGCTTTTATAGCCATTTTAGCTTTGTATCTACACAGACAAAGTGCGGTCATAGCAATCAGCCCAAGTGCAGCTTCCCACAATGTTGGCCATTTCCTTTTTTCTTTCTACCTCCGACTCTACCTATCACTTTGGCCGCTTTCGAATCATTAATGTTGCTCTGCCTATTTTGCCTATTATCTATTCCCTTTTTGTTCGTGCTCATTTTCCTGTTCTTTCGATATGCGACTTGTATTATAATTTTCCCCTTTTCACTTCGATTCACCTGTACCAGCATACGAGCAAACATGCACACAAATTCCCGCGCTGTTGTACTTAGCCACCCACTCATCAACTGCGCCACTGCTACTACTTTATTTAGTACGTAGTGTAATTAGAGCGCGGCCTAAAAATAGGCTAGATAAATTTGCTCGCGCACGCTCATTTGTCCTCTCAGTCCTTGTGCTCGTCTTCAGCGCGGTTGTGTCTGTGGGTGTGTGTGTGTGTGTGTAAATGCCCTGTTCAATATTTACCTAGTGTTTGCGGTTGCCAGGTCGTTTGATACATACATATTTTGTTTTTGCAAATGTTTCGCCTGATATTGCGCTTTTCATGTCTCTGTAGCTCTTACTGTCAGTGAATTTGTTGACTGTTTTAGTGACAAACAGCGAAAATGTTCAATAAGTGAACGCATTTACTCAAACAAAGAGGCAACGAAGTGTTGGTTTTTAATTTCTACTTGCATGCATACTCAGCATTTTTAAACCCTGTTTGGTGTTCGAGCCCCGGTCTTGTCAACCTAGCAAGGTACTAGGTATCTTGCAGCTTCTCTGTAGTACATATACATTGAACTTTCTAATTAAATCTTTCAATGAATGTTATCCATGTATATATGCTTGTACAGAGTTCCTGAGAAACACTCTGCTAGCCTAACTACAATACGGAGAGGAAAGCTAAAAAATTATGTTTTTAGAATCTTCTGTGGAAATATTTCCTCAACCGCTGCAGCCGCAAGACTTCGCATAACCTTGACACGAAGACCAGTGCAAATCTAGTTAGCACATAGAATGTTCACTGGAGGCCCTTTCCATAAGTTCTGAATCCCTGGGGCTAATGAGATTCAGTTTCTGCTACAACGGGGATGAGAATTACTGCGAGTACTACCCCACCTAATATACATCTAGGGGATCAGTCGTGCTTTATCATATATCTCAGAGGTGTAGAAGAAAGCCCATGTGATCCTAGTCCTAAATATTTAAGCCCAATAAAACTCACGTCATTTCTGCCGAAAGTAATGGATTATAGGCAATAACGTCAGAACTAACACTGTCACGCCATCACGTTTGCCTCCGAGCTTATATGCAATTCATATAGGGCAGGAAGGTCCACGGACACCGCTGCATACTAGCTGATGTCGGATAGTCAGAGTATCTTCTAAAATATAGAAACCGAGATTTGTACTTTCCTCGATATACAAAAAAGGAGTATTTGAAAACATATCGCATATTAGCGTTTGCCAGGCGCTAAAGAAAAGAAATGTAGAGCCAGTTGTACGTAGTTGAATAACAGCGTTCCTTCGAACTAGAATCGTTGAAACTGAAAGAGGAGAAAAAGTGGTTCAGCTAAAAACAAGAAGCAGATCTCTAATGATCTGGTTTTTCTCTCCTTCTATGGAGCCCAGTAAAGACAAACTTTTCTAACTATTCACTCGCGAGAGCCGTGGTTGGTGAGCCACTAAGCGTGACGAGAAGAGAATCAATTACCAGGCTCCAGAGCAAAGGGGAAAGCGCACCACCCCGACGGCAGCCCTTGTTAACTCCGCACCTGATATATTTACCTCCCTCTGGCTGAATCCTGATGACCCGCTGCACCAGATTTTAACGAATCAAATTTACTATTACAGAATCTACTCCGTTCCGTAGAGCAGAATTGCAACTGCTAGCTAGGGATGCAAATTTTGAGCAGTAACATCGATACATCGATGTTTCGATGCAACGGAGAAAAGATCATCGAGGATAAAATACATCGCCAGTGAAACATCGATATATCGATGGTTTCCGCTGTTTTGCAATTTGTTAACTTCT